ATGCGCCTAGAGCTTTTTAAAACACTGCTTACAATAATGGCATCCAATGCATGTCTATCCATCAAGGCGAATGAATCTTCTGGTGGAGCTTTGCTTCTTGGCACATGGCGATGAGTAAGTTTTGAATTTTTAAGAGAAGAAGAAACACCACCTTTTTTCTTGACGTTTTCAACCTTTTTATGTATCCTTTCCAATTATGTGCGATTTTTCAACAAGTAGGGCACCTTTTATTTCAGCTTTTTTTTCTAGTAGAAGCACGAAAAAAGTTTGTATGAATACGAGTATACGTACTCACAAAACTAGCATTACAATTAGTGTCGGAGGGAGTAAGGAACCAGGGGGGTCACGTGCTCCCCTGATTTTGGGATTTTTTTTTTTTACAAATATAAAGAAGATATTTTAAATAAAAAAATTACAAAAACATTATAAGAGTGAAATGTCAATGATATTTTAAAATTATGAGAACAATAATGGTTTTTTAAGTAAAAATGAAGAGACTACTATAAATCATATTATCTATGAAAATTTTATGAAAAATTTGGAATGTAACGGTGATGTCATTATTATTGATATGCAAGTATAAGTAATCTCACTATAAATATATGAAATTTATTAAATTGTTAGTTACATTTGACATGTGAGATTCACTCTCTATGTGTTTATTTACTATTAATTGGTGATATCACATACTAATGATGACATGATATTACCATTATATTGAATTTTTAATTAAATTTTGTATAAAAAATAATTTATCGTTGTATAATTTATTTTAAAACTTATATGCATATTTTTTTAAATTGCCCATGATACGCTAGTTATAAATAACATTATTTTTCTGATGTTTCTCGAAATCAATTGTAAAAACTTGCGTGAAATATTTTTGTAAATTTTTTTAATATTGTAATTAATAAGCGCTCCCTCTAATTTAATTTTCTAGTTCCGCCACTGATTACAATACTTACACTCCCAATGTTTGGCACCCCCGACATTTTTTCTGCTAGCAACACCTTTCATAATAACTTCATCCAACAAAGGATTAGACTTCATATCAACCTGATTCTCTCTTGACTCTGTGAAATTTCTTGCTTGAGCACCAATATTACCACCATCTTTGTCATCTTGAGTTACATCAATTTCTTCAACTTTCTCAACATCACTGGTTGGAATATCTTCATACATCATTATGTCCTCCTCGTCTCCTAAATTTTTAGGAGCATCATCCACATGCTTTTTTTTCCCAAAAACAATGGTTCTATGAAGCACGGATACGGACACGGACACGGGACACGATAATTTTCAAAAAATGGAGACACGAAAACGGCAGGAGACACGGCGAATTTTTTTATTTTTTTATAAATATTTTTATGTGTTATGTAAATTCATATTATATTCATCCTAAATTAAAATTAACAAATGCTAACATAGTAACATTAATTCAATAAATATAAGAGAGAAAAAATTTGAACTAGACATTTTTCTAATCTAGTCACATATCTCCTCCATTATAAGATAGCACTTTATTTCTATCATCTTATAATCTATATATATATATATATATACTATATATTAAGAAAAAAGGGTTTTTAACCCCAAGGCCTAGGAGTTTCAATATCCCAATCTGAATTTTCTAAATTTTTTATTAAAAAAAAAAAACTCAGCATTTATTGATTTGATTAAAACCCCTTTATTAGCATTTATTAACTTTTTTCAATCTACATGTCTTTTCACATGCTGCATTTATTAATTTGGTCAAAATCTCCTAATTAGCATTTAAAATCCTTGCATTTATTAATTTGGTCAAAATCCCTGATCAGCATTTAAAATCCCCTCATACAAATAATTATAGATACAATCTGTGTATAGTTACTGCAGTACCCTTTTCAACTTCATTGTTAAATTATTTTTATAAAAAATCTTAAAAAACATAATTTATATATTAAAAAAAATCTAAAACAAATATAAATATGTATAATTATCCCGTGCATAGCACATAAAAGAAGTACAGGATTAGGGAAATACAAAAGAAAACATTTCTGACTTTTGTGTTATGGTAGTAGTTCCATTCGGTAGGTTCTTTTTTGTTTTTAGGTTAATGGATGTAATTTGGGAAATATATATATATATATATGTATTCGGCGCTCTTTGAACACCACATTTCAATCATCTTTTTTTTGCTTTCTTTCAAAATCCATTAGATTCTTATTGTGTTGCTCTGCTTTGTCCTAATTGTTGTTTTTTTAAGTTTTGGTTTCAATCTTTGGTATTATGTGTGGGAACATATTCTTTGAATAATCTGAACATATCTCCTCTCTCTCTCTCTCTCACACACACAGTGTGTCTGGAAACTTAATCTTTGTAGATGTAATGGGTTTGATTACATAATTTGTGTCTGTGGGTTGAATTTATGTGGATTGTGGATTGGAATATGACTGATTGATTATATAATCATGCTTCCTAGAAAGTAGATGAAAAAGAAAAAAAGAAGCAAAAAATAAAAAAAATTGATCCAATCTTGGGAGCTCTTGATAATTTTTTTTGAAGTATGTAAGAAGGCCCCATCTTAATAAGTCGGCCCCATACAACTCAATTTTGTTCAATTTTTTATTGTTAGATAATATCATTTGCTTTAGAGATTGGATCTTGCAAGTTGTTTCCATGGTCAAAATTTCTAGGTTGGAATTTTCTTCAAGTTTCAACAGAACTACGATGTTTGGATTTTAGGATCTAAAAGGATTTTTCCAAACTTTATCATCATGGAACAATGTTCCAGAGCCAGTACGTATTTGAGTTTTGTAATCAAACCTGTCACTTTATTGGACCACTTTAAATAGCTACAAACTTGGGCTGCCATCATTATCATATCTTATGGTAAAGCCCCCCAGTCCCTTTTTTGAACCCTATCTAGGATATGCTTGTACTAAAAAAGCAGTAGATTTCTCACTGAGCTTAGTTTTTTGTGATGAGTATGCAGTAGAAAGCTCAAACTAAGTAGGATATGCTTGTACTAAAAAAAGCAGTAGATTTCTCACTGAGCTTAGTTTTTTGTGATGAGTATGCAGTAGAAAGCTCAAACTAAGTATTACTATGTATTATTTTGTGAAAGATTGGATTGGATGGATTAATTAAGGAATGTAAACATTTGAGTGATATGATTTAAGGGTGAGCTGCATGTTGAGTTATTTATTTGTTTATTTACAATGATAGGTGGTGTTTTTCCCTAGTGTTAAACCAACTATTAACACCTTATTATATGCATAACCTCCATATAGTGGCTATAAAACTTCTTGTAAAGTGTGGCCTTGTTCCCTTAATCCTTTAAATGAGTTCATTGAAGAAGCCCTTGTATCCTGACTTCTTCGAGTATGGTTTCCCTTTTTTTTTCTTTTTCTTTGGTATGGTTTTCACTTTTCCATTAAATAGAAGAAAGTAACTGAAGGTTTTGGCATCTAGCATAAGTTTCATAGATTTCTAATTTGTAGGTTGGCCAAGAATGCTAGTTACTAGTAGTATAAGCTCATTTAAACCACAATGTGACTTATTGCTAGGTACCTTTACTTCATGGGATGGGTTGGGATACATCATACATCACATCTTAGTTATGATTTGCATTATAGAGTTTAGCCTGCATGAGCCTCATGTAGGGGTGTTTGTGGGGTGGTTTGGCTTGGGTTCACCCTTAATCCTCAGCGAACCGACATATTCAGATTGGAAAATCACTGAACCGCCATCAACTGACTTCCTCTTTGAAATCAACCGAGTCAACGGACTCCGTTTGGCTGTCGGATTAGTTGAATTCGAAAATCTGTTAGAAAAAGAGAATGGGGAAAAAAATATGAGAAAAATAGAATTCAAACTTCACAATAAACAGATCTTAGACTCACGTATTGGTCTATGTGAGAGAGAGTGGAGAAAAGAAAATAGGACAAAGGGAGAGAGAGAGGAGACTCACCATGTCACTGATCGCCACAACTTCCTCCATCACTCATTGCTGTCATCGCTCATCACCGAGTGTATGGGAAATTGATACAACATGCTGTAAGTGTCAGATGATCTACCACAGCCATCCCCATTAATTGAACAACACCACCATTAATTTTCCGGGGAAAAAAAGAATGACAATCAGGGGATTGAAGAGGGAGATTGAATTTTTGGGAGGAGATTGAAGGGTTTTTTCGGTGGGGGAATTGAATAGCCAGCCTATGGGAGAAATATAATCAATGTAATGGAAGGAAGAGAGACTCGAAGGAAGAGAGAGATATTGATTAATGGAAGAGAGATATAAATGCAAATAAGGATATTTTTTTCAAACGGAAGAGTAGAGATGGGTAGAAGAGGAAATTTATGGAGAGAGTAAGATAGTAGATGCAACAGTGAAGAGAGGTCAAAATAGGAGGGTGAGTCAGAGTAATTAATTTATAGGAGAAAGTGTAATTAATGTTGAATGAGAGTGTGTAGGAATTATTGTAGGAATCAATGACTGCACAGAGAAAGAGAGTAGTAGCACTTTCGACGGGAAAGTTGGTGAAGCACCCTAGAATAGTGATGAATATAATATGAGAACATCAATTACACATGACACGTGGAGATATTTTTTAAATGTATAGGTTGGTGGTCGGGTTATGTGGGTTTCTTTTTGCCAAACCCATTATTCGACAAACTGCAAAAAATATCCATGTTAACCCGTAGTTGACCGAATATAGTTTCCAAACCGTCTGTTTGTGGTCTGTCTGGTTGGATTCATTGGGCAGGGTGGGTATTCGAACAACCCTAGCCTCATGAAGTATTTGTATGATTTACATTATAGATAGGGCTACTACTTCAATGTTAGCTGCTCATTTGGTCATTTTTTGTCTATAGATGGAGTTGTGATCAAATTCAAAGAATAAGAAAAAGGTTTTGTTTGGACTGCATTTCCATGACTTGCAGTGCAGTTGTAAAAATAACACAGGGAATATTGAGAAATCATTAATTATTAATTTATAAGAAATGTTGTGTCAGGCGGACCTATCAGAATTGGAACAGATCAATTAGCATATCCACCTATGATCGGAGGCATAACCATAAAAAATATCATTAAAAAAGCGTGAGTTGTTATTAAAACATTATAAAGTTGATGATTCCCACCAAGAATTTGATTGCCTGGTTGTGCTAATTCCATAGGAAGGGCCTTTGTTTGGATTGTGTATCTAGGTTATTTTTATTATCAGTATTTTTTTTCTTCTTGAATGGACTATAAATGACCTCATGTTCCATAATGGTTGCTTGACATAGAAATGTGACTAAATAATCTGACTCCATTTACGAGTTTATTCAAGTCTCCTTTTAGGCTAATATTGTCGAGGAAGTGACTAATTATTGCATATGAGGCTGAAGTGATCATTTTTACTAGTAAACTCGGTCAAAAGTTACAATCAGATATCAAGAGTAGGAGAGTTCCTTGACTAATTTTGTAAGTGAAGGAGTTTCCTTGCCTGATTCACAAACCTTATGGAAAGTCCCTACAATTTTCACTTGAATTTCACTTAAATCAAAACTTCATCACTCTTTCATGTATAATAACTCCGTCAATTTATTCACTGTTGAATTTTTGTTTAGGGCAAGATGCTGAACAGACAGGAATGCAATATTCTACTTTGTACTGTAATTTCTCTGAAAGTAGAGGAAGTTGTTTATGTAGATGCATGCTAATATAGAAAGAGCGCACTTGTTCTGTAATATAGAAAGGGCTTTGCATTTCACTCTTTGTTGTGGGGTTGTCACCGATTTATCGGCCATACGGATAGGGAAGTCATCCAATAAGTGGTTTTAGCATATCTTATGCAATCAATTGATTCTATCATGTCTATTCTTCACTAGCACATAGGCTCTAGCTTCTTCCTCTAGCCGAGCCACTACATGCATATGTGTGATTCGTGGCAGTTTTTTTTTAAATTTTTTATGGAGTGCATCATTTGTGTTCGACTCAGGTAGCTAAGAAGGACTTTTTCCTTTCTCTTTGCACGATATACCAATTTCTGAAGATGATTGTTTTTTATGGGCTTGGGCTGTTTTCCCGGTGGCATGCCTTGCTGTTTCTAATATAGTGGTCATGATCGATTCGATAGAAAAGAAGGAATAGTTTGTATTTTTCGTTGGGATTTCCTGGAAAAACTAGTCGTGTCTTATTCTGATTTATTATAAATGATATTCAATCTGCCAAAATAAAAGTTAAAAGAGGGTATGTATGCTCATTGTGTTCTTTATATGGAAATCTGAAGCTAGGGGGCATTCCCTTGACTTGTACTGGTGAGAATTTTACTCCACAAGAAATTGAAGAAAAAACTGCTAAACTGAAGAATCCTCTTTTTTCTAGAAAACTCGCATTGGGTTTAGGGATAATTAGGCTTGAACTGATGACTTCCACCACGTCAAGATGACGCTCTATCGCTGAGTTGTATCCCTTCTCGTTGTCTAAGAACTAGATTTGTCTTGTCTTCATCTCTCTCCCATTCCGTTAGCATTTCTATCTTGTTATCAAATCCTTCAAACCTAGGGCATGCCACTAGGAAAGGTCTTTGCCTACTTTTATAAGGGAGTTTCCGTGGCTGATTTGTAACGGGCCTGGCGTAGCGGTAAAGCTACCCCTTGGTGACCTGGTGGTCACTGGTTCGAGTCGTGAAAACAGCCTTTCCGTTTGGGGGGGTAAGGCTGCGTACATAACCCTTTCCCAGACTCCACTTAAGCGGGAGCTTTCGTGCACTAGGTACGCCCTTTCCCTGCCTGATTCGTAAACCTTTTGGGGAGTCCCTACAATTTTCTCTTGAATTACACTTAAATCAAAACTTCTTCACTTTTCATGTAATGTAACTCTTTCAATTTATTATCTATTGGATTTTTGTTTAGGGCAAGATGCTGGTATTTAGAACAGATTGGAATGCTATATCCTACTAGTATTATAATTTCTCTGAAAGTAGAGGAAATTGTTTCTATAGATGCATGCTAAATGTCCTTACCTAATGAATGATTTTCATAATAAGTCCTTTAAATATACTACTTTCATTTGTGACTGTATTTGATGAATTCCAACTGAATATATATGTAAATCCTGTCATTGGAACAACTGGCCTACTTAAACCAGTTAAAACTACATGAACACCGTATCATCAATTTCCTGTGTGTATGTTCCCCAGGAGAACAAAAAGGATAAAAGTGCAGGTGATGTTAAATGTCATGTTTTTGGACCTGTTTGATGCATTTCTTTATCAAGTGTTTCTTGTTCCTCTTAGGCTGTGATTGAATCAAGGATTTGAGGAGGGATTTGAGAAGGAGAAGGAAATAGGAAGAGGAAAAAATGAATGAAATAGAAGCTAAATTTTGTCACTTTTTCCTCCTTAAATCCTAGACCGAAACACAGCCTTAAAGTTTCGATGAAGAACAAATGTCTTTTGGGTCTGTTAATTAATAATTATAATTTTCTTTACACCAAGCTTCATAGGCTTTTTAATTCCCCTATGTTCCTGCTGGCTGCCTTTTCCCCAAATCTGTGCTACTAATGCAGTTGATTGTTTCTAACAAAATTGTGTACTTACAATTAACAGGTTCCAAATGCCAAGATTTCTATTTGGATCAGATGATCATTGATTGCATGGACAAGGTCTCTGGCTGAAGTATATGTTGTAGACCCCTCTGAACCATGGCACTACATTTTTTTGAAACCACAAGGACTGTCTAGTTAGAAGTAGACTACTCTGCTTATTGCCATGGCTGCTTCAGCAAAAACTCTCACAGTCGAAAAGCCAAATCCAACTGGAGACTGGACAATTGTTTTGCCTCGTCGTGGTAAAAAACAAAGAAGAAATCTCAAATCTCAGATCCTAGAACAAGAACAACCATGGGTTCCAATCGACCATGAGGTTGATTCTGACAGAGAATTGAAATTGATGCAGAAAATGCAAGTCTGCATGAAGAAAGTTGAGACCTCTCTCTTCTTCTATACTTTTATGGATCAAACTCGGTCTCCTCAAATCTTGGATCATCTTTCAAGGCTTCTGGGCTCTGAACCAAAGATGAACATGGTGATATATGGTATTGGTAGCATCGGTTTGACTTTCCCAGAAAAAGTCAACGCACGTGCGAAAAAGTCAACGCATGTGCGAAAAAAGTCAACGCACGTGCGGGAAAGTCAACTCTGTCCAAATTCTGTCTTTTTGCCCATTTTATGCTCCGATGATGTACAACCTGATTGACACTCAACACACATAAAGTATACAGTTTGACCAACAAGTGAAATTAAGAGATTCTAATTAACGGCCTCAATGATGTACATTTCGGCCTTAATCAGTTGGTGCTGATGTGGAGAAATCAATTAGGGAGCAGAAGTAGATGGTTGCTCTACAGGACTAGAGGTAGATCCCTAATCTCGCCTTGGTGATGATGCAGCCTGTGGAGTTATAGCATGAGGAGCCCTGCTTCTCTTGGAGATGTTGGGCAATACAGACTTGTAAGTTGGAATGTAATTGAGTAGCAGGGGGTTTTGCGCTGGTCAACTGGCAAGCCCAGCAGCCTTTTAAGGTCTTTACTAGAGAAGAAGGTTTTGCGAAAATCTTTTAATGGCTGAGGGAGAGCTGCAATAACAAAATTCAGACATTAGCACAGATAAAGGAAATAAAATGGTGAAGTCTCAAGCATAGAAGTTGACACTTAGTTCTTCCCCTCGTCCTCTTTAAACACCGATCGGCGCAGAGGGAATAGATGAAGATCATTATCTAGAGCAAATTCCCAGTTACCCGAGACAATCAGGTAGTCATCTCTAGCACTTTTGTTAGAGTCTGGGAGGTCGACTAGGATTTTATAGGCTGTGGATCTTGGCTTGAGGTAATAGATGTACCCTTTTTCAGATTTTAGGCCACACATGGTATAACAATATTGGATATCAGCTACTGTTATCCTAGCGTTCTCTTGGCGAGCTAGAGCAATTATACCATTAATGACCCTATAGGAGTTAATGGCCAACTGCATAGGGTTAAGTTTGTAGTAGTGGAGGATTTCCCTAAAAAGAATGTCTAAGGGAAGCCAAAGACCATATTCGATGAAAGCAACTACTGGGAAGGGCATGGAATCCGCATCGGGCATGATAGAGTCTTCCTCCCCAGCCAACTTGAGTTGAACATCGGTTGGGATGAAGAACTCTCGACGGAAGTATCCTAGTTTTTCTAGGGTATCTAGTCTCCACCTAAACATACCCATGATGTCAGCTAAAGAAAGAAGGTGCAAGATTTCAAAAGAGAGTGGTTAGTATGGGTTTAAAAGACCTCGGGTAAACCCTAACCAAGAACTAGGGCAAGGGCTTTTCAAGATCTAGGGGGGATTTGTTTCAATGTTCCTAGAGATTATGATTTCCATCAAATCCCAAAACCTAAATCTATACTGAATTAGGAATCAAAGACAAGAATCTGGGGTCAAAACAAGACAAAGCAAAAGGATCACGAATCAGAATCAAGAAAGCCAAAACAAGAAACATGGAGAGTGCAGATGCATGAACACCAAGTGAGTGTGTGAGAGACAGTGTGCAAAAGCCACAACAAGAAAACATGATTGGCATTTTCAAAAGACTACACAAATCCAAGATTCAAGAACTGAAAGTTAATTCGTAATCAAAAGAAGAAAAACAGAGTACAACCATCGAAGCAGATTCAATAGCAACAGAATGGACAGATGGTAAAGAAGAAAACATAATCAAAATCATGGAGGGCTAAAACTAAAAATTGAGAAAACAAAGAACTCACCAGTTGGGTCTGAGGTCAAGGACACCGGTTTGAGGTTCGCCGGAGTCAAACGGTGACAATGAGTGGAGCAGAACAATGAATGCTTCGCTGGAGGAGGTGAACGGATCATAGTTGCAGAGGGCTCAAAAAAATATCAATATAGGTAAAGGAATTGATAGAGAGAGAAAGTCTTGAGCAAAGATAGAATACGAAAATACGAAGTGAGAAGATGAAGAGAGAGAGAGTTTTGTTGAAACTCGAAAAGGTGGCAAGAGGAAATGAATACGCCTTGGATGACGTGTCTATCAGGCGGCGTGCGCAGAAACGACGCAACCTGATAGCGCGTGTCAGGTACGAACCAATGAGGAGGCGACACGTGGAGAAAACGGTTAAGTAAACCGTGCGTGACAGCTCATGTGCAGATAAAACTCTTGGAGCTCTTGATTTAATGAAACAAAAACCTCGGCTAAGGGAGTGATCTAGGTTAAGGAACTTGAAGAACTTGGTTCTTGGTTCATGGTCATTGATAAAGTAGACTGCAAAGTCTTGGTCATGTGAAGTCGACGGGTGATGATCTTGGTCATGAAGGATAGAGTAAGTCTTAGCCGACGTGCTATGTGGGCAAACGATGTAGGTTCCATCACCTTAGGATGCCGAGGTAATAGAACCTAGGAGACAGTTGTGGGGATATATTTTCTGAGTACCAACACGTGGCCAAGGTGACGCCGAGGTGCCACGTGTCCTGGTCATGACGCCGAGGTTATCTCGGCAACGCCGAGATTATCTCCGAAGATGTCAGAATCCGAGATAAGCAGATAGAGCACAAGAGTCCTAGAATGATGAGGGGAGGGGACTCAGCCTGGATAAGGATAAGGCTCTTAGGGAGTTTATCTCTATTTGTTAAAGAGTTCTGGATAAGTACTAAGCTAAAGTCCATTGAAGCTAGACTTCTGTTAAGACAAGGATTGAGTTAACTATAAAAGAGAAGCACCCCAATGGGTCTAAGGTACGGAAATTATTATTCAGAATAGTGAGTTTAGCACTATTGATTATCTTTGAGAGATATACTGACTTGATCGTCGGAATCTTCTCTTTCTGTTGCAGGTTAGCCAGGTATCATCTATTCTGCCAGTACTCTTCAGCTGAATACTGAGTTGGCAGTGTGGTCGAAAAATCACTGACATTGCTAATACAATTTTATGTGATGTAATTTACAGTTATTATTGATATAGGTGGTGTTTGGGAACCTAGGTTCCAAATTTTTTTCTCATTTTTTTTACTAAAAGACAAACTTTTTACAAAACCAAAAAAAACACATCCAAACAAAATATCACATCCAACCCCATAATCATTTCACTTTTTCTCTCACAAACATCACATCTAACCACATAAAAACCCAACTATCTTCCCAAACACCAAAAATTTTTTATCCAATAAAAACCTACAACTAAAAAAACCTACATAAAAACCCACTTCCCAAACACCATCATAGTTTTGCGGGAAATCCATCTCTGTAATTTAATCAATAGTTTGATCAAGAACCTCAATTAAACTAAGAATTTAACCGAAACCAACGGAGGAAGGCCCTCAGCTGCCATTGATAGACATTTGATTTTCTACTCCCTGGAATTGTTATGTTTTTTTATAAGGATCAGGTGTAGTAGATCAAAGCAACTGGCTGTCTCAGAAACCCCGAAAACCAATAATACAAGATCTTAGCAATCCAAGGCCATACCATTTCACAAGAAGTGTATTCTACGTAGGTTGTTTAATAATTTAAGGGTGTGTTTGTTTGGGCGGCGGGATAAGAGGAGATTGTAATCCATCGGACTATTAGTTCTGGATATATTGTCTCCGAACTATTTGATTGAACTGGATTTGTATCCTATGTTTTTTGATTGAACTGGATTTGTATCCTATGTTTGTTTAGTCATAGGATTAGATGTCTGGATTGGACTATTTTTAATGAATCCAATGTTTTTTGATTGAACTGGATTTGTATCCTATGTTTGTTTAGTCATAGGATTAGATGTCTGGATTGGACTATTTTTAATGAATCCAATGTTTGTTTGAGATATTATGGAAAATGATAAATGCTCAAATGACTATTTTATCCTTTTCAATTATTTACTAAGTAATAGCAATATTAAACATACCTTTAATATTTTAATTATTTTTAGCTAGATTTAAAAAATATATATATTTTATTTTATTTTTTGCACAATTAAATAAACTTATTTTTAAAAAATTAAATAAATTAAATATAAATATAAATATATGTTATTTTTTAATTAAAATTTTAAATAAATTTATTTTAAATAATAATACTAATTAAATAATGAAATAAAATAAAAAA